CCTGGACTTTAAACCCACACAAAACTGGGTAGGTGGAGACAGCAAGATCCATGGAGCTGCCTGGCCAGTCTAGCTGAACCAGTGAGTACCAGGGTAAGTGAATGATCGGTCCCCCAAAACAGGGTGCAGGTAACATAACTGAAAAAACCCGAACCCTGACCTCTGGGCTCCATGTGCATACACACATGTATGTGTAAGTACCTGTAAGTAGGAACAACAAACAAGAAAACAAGAGATACCGGTTATAGAGAAAAGAAACAGGCACCCTTGTTCATTGCAGAACAGCATTGCTCAACTTGTGGGTCATGATCCCTTTGGGGGTTGAGTGATAATTTTACAGGAGTAACCCAAGACCATCAGAAAATGCAGATATTTGCATTATAGTTCATAGCAATAGAAAATTACATTTATGGAGTAGTAGCAGAAATAATTTTATGGTTGGAGGTCAACACAACATAAGAATACTGTGTTAAAGGGTCACAGGGCTAACAAGGTTGAGAACCATGGTTTTAGAAGGAAATGTAAATGTTATAACCCCTGTGGATGCTAGTATACCAGTTCCTAAAAACATAAAAATATAATGAATATACGATACAGCATTTCTATTTCTGGATATATGCTCCAATGAATTGAAAGCATGGTCTCAAAAGGACAATTATATACCAAGTTGGGAGATCAGAATTCATAACAGTTAAAATATAAAAGTAGCCCAAGTGTACATAGCTGAATAGACCAGCAGAACATGATCTATGTTCACAATGGGATATCATTTGGCCTTAGTGAGGGAGGAAATTCTAAAACATATTAAAACATGGAGAAATGTTTGGAAATTATGTCAAGAGAAATAAGACAATCACAAAAAGGTAAATGACACACAATCCCATTTTATAAAATATTAGTCACAATCATCGAAACAAAGGGTGGCATATGGATGTTAGCAGCTAGAAAGAGAACGGGGAGCTATCATTCAAGGGGTGCAGGGTTGGAGTTTTGGGAGGTGAGAGAGAATTTCTGAATGGTGGTGCCAATGAGAGCACAACAGCCTTAACACTAATCCAGCTGATGGCACTAAACTGTACCCCTAAGATGGTAATACTACATTATGTTGTATTTATTTCAGCACAGCTTTTAAAAGTGGGAAAACCCCACATAAAGTAGTAGTACTCCATAGGATATCTGCAAAACTAAAAGACGAAGAAGTGAAATATTTATCCCATTTTAATTGCGAAAATAACAGAATAAATAAACAAAGAAAATAACAACATAGTGTACAATTTAAGCTTTAAACATGGCTGTATTAGAAATTAGGCTACACATATTCTAAAGGGCACAACATAGAATTGAATAGGCCACTTTCTCTACAGAAATAGAGCTCCATGGAAAAGTCAATGAGTTAATAAAAATATGTCTTATATTCTACTTATAAACAAAATTCAAATTCAAAATATAACTCATCATCTATTTTCCTATTTCCTGGCCTGAAATATTTTAAGAGTAGAAAGGACCAACCTACCCAATTCACCTAATCTATTTATTTACCTACTTGCTCAGGAGTGTAAGCAGCTGTGATATGCAATGGTTATTAACTGGCCCTCATGGTGGAGAAAGTGTTTGTGATAAAAAAAAATTGGTGTCTTCTTATACTCTTAAGGTATTTCTATCAAGAGTTAAAATGGTACCCTCATCCTGTTGTTATTCTTAGCTGTCTCAAGAAAGACTCTCAATCTGCAGCAAAATTTTACTTGGGATTCTCAATTGTAAAGAGATTCTTAAAAGGAAAAAAATACAAAACCATCGCAGTAATGTATGAAAACTGCATATAGTTGGGGATGGAGGGAGGGATGGAGGGAGTGAAGGAGGGAGGGAAGGAGGGAGGGAAGGAGGGAGACCTGCCTTTCAGATGCTAGCAAACAGACTTGAACTAAAGGATCAGTTTAAACAGACATGTGCTCCATGAGCCTGTGCCAGACAGAAAGCCCAGCCACCAGGAAGCAGGACAACATATTGGTGGATTGTGGCTTCTCCCCTAATGCAACTGCATAGACTCTAAAGAGCATTTTCACTTTGACCATCCCAAGAAATCCACCACTGGGTGTGGTGAGATGAACAGCAGAAGAGAGCTGGCCAAGACGACACACTGACAAATCAGATGTTTCTATAAAAAAATTGTCATCAACAAATTTATTTCAGAATAAGAGCTCACATTCTTCATCATAAGAAAATGGGTTTTTATCTATGTGAGTTTGAGGTCAGCCTGGTCTGCAAGAGCTAGTTCCAGGATAGGCTCCAAAGCTACAGACAAACCCTGTTTCAACCCCCACCCCTCAAAAAAAGAAAGAAAATGGGTTTTTTTGGTGGTCATGTGACATCTGGCATATCGGGACATCTTTTCGGTAATCTCCCTGAGGTTAGGAACTGCACCTTGGTCTCTGAAGCATCATTTACTTTTAAGGAACTGACTGAACAAGCACAATTTTTACCTAAAAGCTCTTAGGTTAAGCTACTGATCAGGCTGGAGAAGCGACTTTCCCTGCCACAGAGCCATGACAAGCCAATTTATTTGTCCACTCCATCACCCAAAGCAGTTAGATGTGCTCCCACCCTTCCTTCCCCTCCCGCCTTCTCCAGAAGGCAGCTAATGGCGTTTGCTTTTAGTTTAGCGCCAGGAAAAGACCGTTGTCGGCAAGTGTTGACACTGAACGCCAAATTCCATTAAGGTAGCAGTGCTGGGAAAGTCCCCATAATTTTTTTTTTTTAAGAACTGTTTTCTTATCCCCAGAAGGGGTTTATTTCCTGTTTTCTGTTCCTACATAGTTTATGCTTCCGAGGCGTCTGAACACAGTTCTGTGAGGAGAAAGAGGTCTGCTGTGAGCTGGTTTTCACCATTCTTTGCTCTGGAGGACGGATGGCAACCATAAAGTACCTGGTGACCAAGCAACATCTCTGGAGACACTGGGCAGCCAGATCTTTGTCTAGGTTTCCTGATAACTACATTTCTCCCTTTTCCCTTTCTCCCTTGCTAGTCTGCCATCCCCTTTATTCCTTTTGTCACACACACTGCAGATTTGGGCTCACTCAATCAAGGCTTTGCCATCGACTTCCCAGAATACGGTCTTAAAGAAAAAAAAAAGGTTGGATTTTTAATTTTCCATCAATGAGCACAAAATCAGCAGTGCTTTTAGTACGCATTTTCATGGCAAAAAAAAATGCGCCACGTTATTTACTAAGCCATTCTCAAATTCCACTTAGACGCCAGGCCTATGCCTAAAGCCTCAAGAAACGGACTGGTGTTAAAGAACCTGATGAACTCAAACACGGAAGCTTTCCCTTGAAACTTGTGGTGAACCTTAGGCCTTTTGAAGCTCTCTAAGACAAAATGAGTTGGCTCTGAGATACTGGCTCTCACTAAGAATTAACTAAAAAAACTTTAAAAAAAATTCTGTAGTCAAGCAGGAAGGAAAGGAGTCCGGCGGGAGAAAGGAATATCAGGGCATCCCTCTGAGACTTAAAAGATGCCTCATCTCTGGGTACCCAGGGGAGCCCTGGAACCTTCTCAGCGCTCTCACTGTGGCGCACTGCGGAGCCCTTCGCCTGCCAGCAGCCTCTGTCCTGCCTGGCTTTCTCTGCCGCCCCTGCCGCAGTCTATCCTCCCACCCCGGTCCCCCAGTCTGCTGCTTTCTGCACAGGGCGCGCCGCGGGGCATCCATCACTCCGGAGCCTTTGACGCACACACGCACTCCCAGACAGACTGGGTCTCCTAGCCCTCCCTCCCGCTGCGCCCGCCCCATCGCGGGGCAGCATTTACATCACGCCCACACGTAGAGGGTGACGCGAGCACCCCCCACCCTCGCTCTCGTAGTCCAGGCGGTACCTCCAGAGCTGGTGACTCAGCTCCTCCCTCTCCGCCCCCGCGCGTGGCGCCTGAGGTTCCCGCACGCCCACGAAGATGTTCTTTGCATCTGTGATGGGGTGCTGGCTGCCCGAGTCAAGTTCATTCCGGTATTCTATAATCTTCCCGGGTCAGTCAGAGGAGTCCTAGCAACGCGGGAGAAAGTACTCCCAATTCTAGACCCAGTTTGAAGGGGGAAAGTCCACCAAGAGAAAATGGTGGGCTGTCGCCCCATTTCCTGTTGGCTTTAAATCAAGAGACCTCGGTAGTAGTAGTTGTTGCTGTCATCATCATCATCATCATCATCATCATCATCATCATCACCATCATTTTTATTGGGGACGTTCCTTCTCCCAAGAACCTCTCACTCTTAGATGCGCTTTGCTGCGCCAGGCGCATAGTGGACGCTCCATAGTGTTTTGCTGAATGGAGGTGCAGTGTAAGAAGTGTGGATTCTTATAAAGGGCCACAGCCCGCACACTTCCCTGCTCTCAGCCTTTTGGTGCGGGCGTACAGATGCTATTCGCGGGTTTTGGGGGATTTGTGAAAGAGTTTGAACATTCACGGGGTTTCTATTAGCCTCCCGTAGAGTCGACCGCGACTCCCCATGCTTTCCCATCACCCGCACATCTGCAGAGGGATCCCCGCAGAAAAGTTGAGGCTGCAGTGATGGCTTGGTGATGGCGGGCGCTCCCGTCTACCTGATTTGAATAGTCTCTCCTGGCCCTCCTGAAGCCCCTTTGTCCCCCACCCCGCAGTAAAGAAACCTGGAGACGCCTGCAGGAGCAACCCTGAACGCCTGCTGCTGCCCACCCACCTGCCCCGGAATCCCAAGCATAGCGCGCCTTTGACTTGCCACAGCCCAGTAAACCTGGGGTCGTTCCGCTACCTCCGTGAGATTTCTCCCTCCCCATCCTAACACAGGGGGCCAGCGAGCAGCCTTCCCCACCTGCAGACGCTTTCCTGGAGCCAGAGCCGGCAAAGTTGAGCTGGTTGCGCTTCTGCAAGGCTGCAAAAAGTTCCCTGACTGCAATGCTCGGTTTCCCGGTCCAGAAGGGGAGTCTGGCAGAGAACGATTTTTCGCCAAGATTGCGGGGGCCTCCTTACTCACCGTTTCAGCCGCCGGGGTCCCCCTACCCTGAGCCGTGTCTGCAATGCAGCCGTCGCCGCGCGGGCACCCCTTCACTTGCTGCCCGGAGCCGCCTCGGTCTGCCACTCTCTCCTGCAGCGCGCTCAGTGGTGACTCTTTTGAACGCGGCAGCGACGAGAGGAGGGGCGGGAAAGTGGCTCCGGGCTGCCACGCTGCGGTCCTCCTCCGCCTCCTCCTCCCCTTGATGCTGCAGTGGCGGGCGGCGGCGTGGCGAGAGTAGAAGCGATGCGCTGGGAGGGAGTTACGGCGCGCGGGGGAGGAGGGCGTTGTGCAAGGCTGGGCGAGCTCCTGGTGTGATGCGGAGGCGCCGCTGAGGTGCGGGTCCCGGGAAGGAGGTGCGGTACTTTTGGAGAAGTCTGTAGCCCAGGAAAAGAGAAAGGTGCCAGTGCTGAATTAGTCACCGGGTGTGACTGTGCCTTGCCCACTTGGCCGCCCTTTGGGCCGGACCCCCGGAAGGCACAAGGAAATTGTTGATCATTGGAAGGCAGTGCTCAGAGAGCAAGGCTTTTGGTCTGTTTCTGGACCTGCAGCTGGTCAGTTTTGACTTGACTTTCAGTAAGTAAGTAGGCAGGAGCTTATCATTCCCCTACCTCAATCTCCATGCTGGTACACAGTCGAGAAGAAACTTGGGGCATAGTAGAAGCAACTTCGCTCGCGGGGTGTGTATGTGTGTTCCCAAACCAGGTAGGGCCAGGCAGCAAAACTGGTGGAACTGCTTAATATTAAAAGAGAAAGACGCGAGAATGTTGCTGTGTTCCCAGGGATGCCTTTTCCTGAAGAGGGTAAGAAACCCCAACCTCAGCCTCACCTAAGCTCTGGGGCTGGACTACTAACTGAAATTCATCTTCGAGGCCACACCCAAGCACCTACTCTGCCTTGGCATGGCAGGGCGTCGCCCTCCTGTCACCCCCCATCCTAGACCACCGGAAGGGACGCAGTGCGAAGCAGGACATACCTAAATAAGAGACCCTGCCTTCTCCGCGCTCACAAGGAACTCACGGGCTTTGGAAGGGCCCTGCAGGCAGGTGCCCACCGGCAATCATCTCTCTTGTAATGGTGACTCGGGGTGAGAGACAAAGCGCGGCGCCATTGGAGGCTGCAGTGGGTGGAACTCGCAGGCACAACCGCTCCTGCAATGTACTTTATGCGAGTAAACAGCCTGCATGTTTGAATGGTGGCGGGGGGGGGGGCAGGGGGTAAAAGCTTGGCGGTGCGGACACATATGTAAACATTGTATGTAAGTGTGCTGGAGAAGAGCAGTCAGGCTTTGCTGAGAGCCATAGACCGCCGGAGGGGACCACGTGGCTGGCCAGTGACAGTGATATGCAGGGCTACATGTGTGCCACCATTCAGGATGCAATGAAGAGAATGTGCCCAGTCCTAAGCCTCTGGTTGCCCCTCCTTGCAGCTCTGGAATTCTGAGACTCAGGATTCTCAGGTCCCATTGAATTTGTTAAGAATATACAGGAAGGATGTCCACCTGAGTGGGTTAATGTTTATGCCGTCCAATCATCTTCGCAGCACCACCGTAAATTGTGGCAAACAGCAAAACAATTAACCAAAACAAGAGCCAGACAGGTTTTCAAAGACCACCCCAAAAAGTGTATGTTTTTCTAAATGATAACATTCTAATGATCTTTTCTCAAATACTTACCCTCCTGTTCTCTTAAGATATGCATGAATGTTGGATGTGGTGGGTCACACCTTTAATCTCAGTACTGGGGAGGCAGAGCCAGGTGGTGGATCTCTGTGATTTAAAGGCTGCCTGCTCACATTGCAAGTTCAAGGCCAACTAGGAGTACATAGTGAGACTCTGTCTCAAAACAAACAAACAAACAAAAAACAAAAACAACATCAATAAAGAAACTGTGAGGGCAATATGATTGGTAACATTTTTGAGAGAATAGAAGACAAAGTCCAGGATTCCAACAATCAAATCTAATGGTGGAAGCACTGCCCACTCTTCAACACAGCAACTTAGCACCATCAACTCGTGAAGAGAAAGTGTCTATTTGCCTCTCAGCCTTTGAGGTTCCAGCCTCTGATACACTATACTGGTTTTGGGTCATCAAATAGTAGGAGCATGGGAGCACCTACATCACCATGATCCAGGGAGCAAAGTGAACAAGGCCTAGTCCAGGGCCCTTCAGGCCATTCTCTGTCGCCCAGTGACTTCTCACTTGGTCCAATAGTGCTACCTTCTAGAACAGTCCTTTAACAAGTGCGCCTTTGAGGGACATGCGAGATCCAAACAATGCGATTCCCCCAAATGTTTGCACTATGATTCTGAGGGAAAGCAGAGATAAATCTCACTACCATCCGTTGCAGAGGACTGCTGAAGATGTTGCTATAGCTTAAATGAATCAAGAGAATGTAGACATGGAGGAGGGATAAACACACTTGTTTAACAAATTTTGGGTAAAGCATGCTGTAGATATTTGCATCCCCAAACTCTGTTATTTTGCATAACTGATTTAAAACAGATGCGCAATTATGACATCAGTTTACTATATGGCTGGTAGGCATGAGCATTGCGTCTTCCAGTAGTAACAGATAGAAATCCTTTCCGGAGGATCCTCTTACATTCTAGAAACCAAAAACTTCCCCCACACAAAAAGTGGGATAGCAATGAGCACATGATAATGAGCACACAGACTATAAGGATGTCCCCACAAAGGAGCACTGGCTATTCTGCAGAAGAATCTGTAGACGGGTCACATATCTTCCATTACCTGAAGAGAAAAAAAAAAGAGTTTAAAGCCTAGACAGGGAATAGGAAACTGTAAGGAAAGATCAATCATGCTTGAACAGGCATTCAACCTCTGTCGCCTCTACTGTTCATCCTCCCAGCACCCATCCATGAGTCCTCACATCTAAACACACCCTACACTTTTCTGATTGTATTGAGGGAGTCTCCCTCTTTAAAATGTGGTGTCCTTTCCTTTATTTGGCAATACATGCAGAATGCTAAAATCATTTTTCTTCCTATTTTACAGAAGAGCTTGGAACATCATGGATACGTGACTCCAGAAACATGGTACAACAAAACAGAACTTCCAGCTACATGCAGAACTCCTGGCTTGTTTTAGGATTGAGTGATTCAACGGTGGAAATCAAGAAAGGAAAGAATGTGAACATTATTTTATATAACCGATTGAAATAAATGAAAGACTAATAAACACAATTTTAATGTGTGTTACCCAAAAGAGGCAGTGTCTTGACTCGGAAAGGTAGTTGATATGTCCAAAGGATTTGGAACTTCTATGATTGTAGGGTCAGAAATTGTCCCTTTCTGTCAGACATGAGTCTACTCATTTCTTTTGCTCAATAGCAAGGTCCTTTAAAATTTGTAACAAAATTAAAGAACACTAAATGCCTGCAAAATGGAAACACTGTTCTGTGACTGATCAGGGGAGATGTGACTATCTATCCCTCAGCCCAAGGTAGAGCACCATCTATAAACCAAAGACGATTTCTCTCAAGTCTGGTGTAGTGAGCCAATGAGGTTCTGGGGTTCACCTGCAGGGGCGAGGATGACTCAAAGCAGCTGAATCATGCAAAGCCCTCCTGCTAAGCAAAGCACAGGATGCTCAAAGAAAGCTGCATCCCTAGAGTTCCCTGCACACCTCGCAGGCAGCTGTGTAAGTGGAAACTCTGGCTCCAGAAGTTGTGTCAGCTTAAGTAATTCCAGGTGGGGTCTCGTGAAACTTAGAACCCTGGGAATTTCCTGTGGCTCTTAAATTCCAGTAACATCCTGAGCTTTTCCATGCTCTCACCTCCCACTAGGAGAGAGTGTTTCAATTAGGAGGAAATAGCTATGCCACACAAATGCTGTCTTCGGGACCTTCTACATATCCTTCCTGGCTAAACTAATCATTTCTTTCAAAGTTTCACAGATTCAAGTACAGATATGTTGCTTGCTGGACCAGGGGGAAATGTCCTTGTAATGGCGCCCTGATAACATCAGCCATCTGCCAAACTCAAGTTTCCCCTTGGCAGAAGGCTTCCCTTGCTCTTTCTTGATTTCCCCCAGTGTAACACCAGACTCTACTGTCATCTTCTTCCTATCATATATTCTAGAAATACTGGCCCAAGGTGGGACTCCCACGGCAAACTAAGATCTACTCTGGTTATGTGCTTTAGAAAGTAGCCTCATATTCTCTCTCTCTTCTCTCTTCTCTCTTCTCTCTTCTCTCTCTCTCTCTCTCTCTCTCTCTCTCTCTCTCTCTCTCTCTCCCATTTGACACTGGATTGTGGGGGGATATTTACCCAGGCAAAAGGGCCTGGGGGCCTACAGTCCCCTGCTGGCCTGACCAAGCTAATCCTAGGACTATCTGAGCATGCAGTATCTAACTTCCCCAGATAGAGCCAAGCTAGTTCTGCCAAGGGACCCCAGCAACAGCTGCGGTAAATGACATTAAGGTGCTTACATTTCTGGTCACAGAGGCATCTACGTGAGGACATGGTCTGGAGACCCTTCGTGACTGCTCAGAAACCACAGAAGAGATTAGTCTAATTAAAAAACACACAGAAGTGGCAAAGCCAAGTAATTTCAAAGAAATCAAGTCAGAAATGGTGTCTCGCAGCCAGGACAGCCTTCCTTCCATTGGGGGCCATGCACTGCTTTCTTTTCAAAGAATCCATCTTAAGTTAGAGCCGCTTGTTCCTAACTAGAAGCATTCTTATACACACACTTCCCATATACTCCCAAATAAAAGTACCTAGTCCTAGCACAGCTTGGAAGTGCCTACGAATTTGAGGTGAACTCTATGCAGAGTTCACTTCTGTTGGGAAAACAAGAAAGATGTGTCCATCTGTCATATCCCGGTGTCTAGCACAGTTCCTGGATCATGGAAGGCATTTGGAAATAACAGCTTACGGCCAACATGGCCTCAGGATCTTAGCTAGCAAAAGGGAACCTTTAGAAGTCCAGATGGAAGGCTGGAAATGAGAAACACTGGCTCAGTGAACATTCAACTTCTGGGAGAATCTTTCTGCTCAAATGGACAAGGAAAAAAGCTTCCCCAGATAGATTCAGGGAAATCTAGGAGGCCTCGAGCCAAATGGGTAGCT